AAGGTCCTTTCTTGGATTGAGAACTGGTTAAAAGACGGGAAACAAAGGTTAGGAATAAATGGTAAATTTTCAGATTGGAGAGGGGTAACTAGTGGTGTCCCCCAAGGGTCAGTCCTGGGACCAATCCTTTTCAACTTATTCATAAATGATCTGGAGAAAGGGGTAAGTGGTGAGGTAGTAAAGTTTGCAGATGATACCAAACTGTTTAGGATAGTCAAGACAGAAGCACACTGTGAGGGACTCCAAGATGATCTCACCAAACTCAGTGATTGGGCAACAAAATGGCAAATGAAATGTAATGTGGATAAGTGTAAAGTAATGCACATTGGGAAAAATAACCCCAACTATACGTACAGTATGATGGGGGCTAATTTGGCTACAACAAATCAGGAAAGAGATCTTGGAGTTATCGTGGACAGTTCTCTGAAAACTTCCACGCAGTGTGCAGCGACAGTCAAAAAGGCAAATAGGATGTTAGGAATTATTAACAAAGGGATGGAAAATAAGACCCAGAATATCTTACTGCCCCTCTATAAAACTATGGTACGCCCACATCTTGAATACTGTGTACGGATGTGGTCTTCTCACCTCAAAAAAGATGTTTTGGCCTTGGAAAGGGTTCCAAAAAGGGCAACTGAAATGATTAGGGGTTTGGAACGGGTCCCATATGAGGAGAGGTTAAAGCGACGGGGACTTTTCAGGTTAGAAAAGAGGAGACTGAGGGGGGATATGATAGAGGTCTATAAAACCATGAGTGGTGTGGAGAGGGTGAAGAAAGTAAAGTTATTTACTTGTTCCCATAATATAAGGACTAGAGGACACGGAACGAAATTCATGGGTAGCAAGCTTCAAACTAATAAAAGAAAGTTCTTCTTCATACAGCTCATAGTCAACCTGTGGAACTCCTTGCCAGAGGAGGCTGTGAAGGCTAGGACTAGAACAGAGTTTAAAGAGAAGCTAGATAATGTCATGAAGGTTAGGTCCATAAAAGGCTATTAGCCAGGGGATAGAAATGGTGTCCCTGGCTTCTGTTTGTCTGAGTCTGGAGATGGATGGCAAGAGACAAATCACTTGATCGTTATCTTCGGTCCACCCCCTCTGGGGCACCTGGCGCTGGCCACTGTCGGGTCCATCCTCTCTGGGGCACCTGGTGCTGGCCACTGTTGGCAGACAGGATACTGGGGTAGATGGTCCTTTGGTCTGACCCAGTGCAGCCATTCTTATGTTCTTAGAGTGGACCACAAGCTAAATAGGAGTCAACAGTGTGACACTGTTGCAAAAAAAGCAAACATGACTTTGGGCTGCATTAAGAGGAGTGTTGTAAGCAAGAGACAAGGAGTCATTCTTCCGCTCCACTCTGTGCTGATTAAGCCTCAGCTGGTGGATAGTGTCTTGTGTCCAGTTCTGGGCACCACATTTCAAGAGAGATGTGGAGAAATTAGAGAAGATCCAGAGAAGAGCAACAAGAATGATGAAAGGTCTAGAGAACTTGAATTATGAGGGAAGACTGAGGCTGTGTCTAAACTACATCCCTTTTTCGATAAAGGGATGTAAATTAGACAAGTCGATATTGCAAATGAAGCAGGGATTTGAATTTCCTGCGCTTCATTTGCATAATGGTGGCCGCCATTTTTTTTCGAAATGGAGCTTTTCGAAAAAAAACGAGCAGTTTAGGTGGGGATCTTTTGAAAATAAAACCCTTTTCCGAAAGATCCCGAACTCCTCCACCGGTGTCGGCATGGTCCATCATGGTCCAGCAAGCTCTCTGGCCAGCCTCGTGGCTGTGCAGGAAGGAACGCCTTTGGCCCTGTCTTACTGTGGTTTCATCCATCCGTCTCAAGCATGAGCCAGTGTACGGGAGCTGAGGCGTGGTTCGATTTATTTTAGATCCAGGGAAACCAGGGCACTTCAGGGCTACTTTTAGCAGTTCATACAGGTACAAGCTTAAGAACAAGCACTCTACAATTTAAACCTTAAATACTATAGGGTACGTCTACACTACAGCGCTAGTTCGAACTAACTTAGTTCGAATTAGTTAATTCGAACTAAGCTAGTTCGAACTAACGCATCTAGAACTAAAAACTAGTTCGAACTAGCGTTTTGCTAGTTCGAACTAGCAAGTCCACATTGAGTGGACTCTGAACAGGGCTTAAGGATGGCCGGAAGCAGTGCTGGCAGGGCATAAAAGGAGGACTTAGAGCGTGGAGATGCTGTCTCAGGCTAGCCGAGGGCTGCGCTTAAAGGGTCCCGACCCCCACCCCGGACAGACAGTTCTAAGGGGTGCCCCGCTTGCAAAGAAGTTCTGGCTTGGAGTGCCCTGAGTGCCCACACTGGGCACATCACACCACTCGGCCATCAGCCCAGCTGCACTTGCCGCAGGCTGCCATCTGGGGAGAGGGAGTAATTGGGGGGCTGCAGGAGAGCTTCCACCCCCAGAAGCCCGCAGAGCCAGCCCAGTCCTCCCCATCGGGGGCTCGTACCCCATTCCTCCCTCACCTCCTTCCACTTACCCTTCCCTAGCCCCCCTTCTTATTGATGTACAAAATAAAGATAACGTTTCTTCCAACATTGACTCTGTCTTAATTGAAAAAAAACTGGGGGAGACTGGGAAAAGGAGGTGGGAGAGGGGAAGAGAAAGGCTGGGAGAGGGGAGGGCAACTAACATGATCAGGGGTTGGGAACAGGTCCCAGATGAAGAGAGGCTACAGAGACTGGGACTGTTCAGCTTAGAAAAGAGGAGACGGAGGGGGGACAGGATAGAGGTCTCTAAAAGCAGGGGTTGGGTGGAGAGGGTGCATTCAGAAAAGTTCTTCCTGAGTTCCCATAAAGAAGGACTAGAGGACACCAAAGGAAAGGAATGGGTAGCAGGCTTGAAACTAGTAAGAGAAAGTTGTTCTTCTTGACAAAGCAAATAGTTAACCTGTGGAACTCCTTGCTGCAGGAGGCTGTGAAGGCTACAACTAGAACAGAGTTGAAAGGGAAGTGAGATCAAGTCATGGAGGTTGGGTCCATGGAGTCCTATTAGCCAGAGGGTAGGAGTGGTGTCCCTGCCCAAAGTTTGTGGAAGGCTGGAGAGGGATGGCACGAGACAAATGGCTTGGTCATTGTCTTCGGTCCATCCCCTCCAGGGTCCCTAGGGTTGGCCGCTGTTGGCAGACAGGCTACTGGGCTAGATGGACCTTTGGTCTGACCCAGTACGGCCATTGTAAGCTCAGGGCTCAGTGTCGGGGGTCTCAGTGGACCCCCTTGATTTTCATGCACACCTGGTCCTGGGTGGCCAGGCTGGCAGCTCTCCTGCCCTAGACGGCCACTTTCCTGTGCCTAGTGCGGAGATCGTGGACGAGGTCCACGATGTCCTCACTAGCCCAGGAAGGTGCCCTCCTCTTGCGGTCCAGGGCAGTAATTCAAATTACTCTACTGACAAACTATTTTTTTCCCAA